GTCGGATTGATTGGCCAAATATAGAACCCACAGAAAGTCCCAACTTCCTAACTTAACAAACAGCAGAGTTATGACATTTCCGATCAATCAGTTATATGGCAGCTATAGGATATAGTCGGCCGATCTCGGCCGTTCCGACTTATATACTGCGTGCAAAGGAAAGAAGGGTGTGTGCAAAGTTTCAACTCGATAGCTTTAAAACTGAGAGACTAGTTTGCGTAGAAACAGACAGACGGACAGACGGACATGGCTATATCAACTCAGGAGGTGATCCTGATCAAGAATATATATACTTTATAGGGTCGGAGATGTCTCCTTCACTGCGTTGCACACTTTTGACCAAAATTATAATACCCTCTGCAAGGGTATAAAAATCTGGACGCTAAACGCGTTAATCAATCTACATAATAAAGTTTCTATTTAATTTAATATTCGATATTTTAATGTTTACTATTTTTTATCGATCTTTGAAAATCTAAGAATCTTCCTCATTTTTTCCAAACGGCAAAAAAACACTGATCTAAGTCAATTAGCAATATGAAAATTAATCGAGGGAATCCTGATACTTTAAGGATTCAAATGGTGGTTTTACTGAAGCTCTAGGTCAATTCTAAAAAAAGTTACATTAGCCTAAAGTAGGAATAATAATTCCAACAAATTATACACAAGCATTGAACACCGAATGCATTCTCTCGCTTTGTCTCACTCTCTCTCTCTCTCTCTCTGATTCTGTGTAGTACAATAATTGTGCGGCGGCTGATCTTGATCTCTTTTTATACCCTTGCAGAAGGTATTATAATTTTGGTCAAAAGTGTGCAACGCAGTGAAGGAGACATCTCCGACCCTATAAAGTATATATATTCTTGATCAGGATCACCTCCTGAGTTGATATAGCCATGTCCGTCTGTCAGTCGGAACGGCCGGGATCGGCCGACTATATCCTATAGCTGCCATATAACTGATTGATCGGAAATGCCATAACTCTGCTGTTTGTTAAGTTAGGAAGTTGGGACTTTCTGTGGGTTCTATATTTGGCCAATCAATGCGACGTACCAAATTTCATAAGGATCAGCCGACTATATCCTATAGCTGCTATATAACTGATTGATCGGAAATGCCATAACTTTGGTGTTTGTAAAGTTAGGAAGTTGGGATTTTCTATGGGTTTTATTTTTGCCCAATCAATTCGACATATTAAATTTCATAAGGATCGGCCGACTATATCCTATAGCTGCCATATAACTGATTGATCGGAAATGAAATAACTTTGGTGTTTTTAAAGTTAGGAAGGTGGGATTTTTTATGAGTATTAAAAATGCATCATATGAATAATTTTGGAGAATATAATTTGCAGAATATTCTGCAAGGGTATTTCAACTTCGGCTCCGCCCGAAGTTAGCTTTTCTTTCTTGTTAAAACTTAAAATTAAAAACTTAAAACTGAATTAAACTTAACAATAAATTAACAATAAATTAAAATTAAATTATACCAGCAACACACACGAATAAACCCTGTCAAAGCGTTCAAGCCGCTGGGCTTTGTGAAAAGGGCAGGGGGCAGTCATCATCTCTATATATAAAGCTATCAGTAAGAAAACTGGGAATCAACGCACAGCCAAAACCACTGGTTAACAATATTAATATGCATTTTTATTACATTCTAATAACTTTAAACTGATTTGCTAAGATTTATTGGGGCTCCCCAAGTGGCCCCAATCGATTCCAATTGGAAAAAAGGTCAATTTTCCTTTCAAAAATTCTGGACGCTAAACCGTTTTAGCAATCGAATCCGTGTTTTCGCCTAAAAAAAGGTTAAGACATTATAAATGTTTAAAAAATTTGACCGCTTAGATTTAAGGCTTTTTACTATTTTTAACACCCGTTCTGAAATTACAATTTAGCCAAAAATATCTTCAAACGTCGAAAAATGGCACTTCTAAACTGAGTATCAAAAATTCCTTCGGTAAAGTTTTTCCTTAAGCTTTAACGATTCATTTGATGGTTTCACCAAAGCTCTAGCTATCTTCTAAACAAAGAAACTAAGCAAAAAGTCGATCTTTTATCGAGTTTAAGTGTCTCCATAAGCATCATACGTTTTCTGCCTGCATATTGCTATCTCTCTCTGCATTTTCATACAAATTGTCAACAAATGATTCCATCTCCCTCCCTCTCTCTCTGCCTTGCATTTCCGTACGCTTCCTTAAAAATATAAAATGAGCTTTAATACGGTTTTAATATCTGTAGACATTAGTTTATAGTTATTGGTGACCCAAAAGATTGCAAAGACTTCAAAATGGTCATTAACGCTGATAAAAAGCCAGCAAATGCTCATAGAGGTCGTTATAATGCACCTCAAACAAATGAAGTGGGTTTGGTATTAGTTGATCAACAATTTCCAAGTCGGGACATTTTTATAGAGAGTCATAATAGCAAAGTGAACTTTACCGATCTTATGACTGTCTACAATATCCATTAATTTTTTGCCACGGATATGATGGATATTCCATAAATATTCCCCAACGGGATCCGTTAACAAAAAATTATCTAAAGAAGACTGTAAATGCATTAAGCTTTTACAGTTATCGAATAATTCTTAGGGAGACTGAAGTCAATCACTTGCATTATTATAGAGCTCTGTTTAATCAATTTTTGGTTGATATGAGTGCAAAAATGGAAACAGAACGGTTTAATTATATTCGAGCAAATCAAAAAAAGTTGGGAGCAGAAAGTTACATATGTATGTACATCTTCAAGACGCTATAGGTAGGGGAGATGCAGATATGACTCAACTTGGTCAGATGGTGATTTTACCTTCCACTTTTACAGGCTCTCCTCGATATATGCATGAAAAGACCCAGGATGCTATGACTTATGTTCGACATCATGGCCGACCTGATATTTTAATAACATTTACCTGTAACCCTAAATGGGAGGAAATAACGAATGAGTTGTTTCCAGGCCAAAAACCTCAGAATCGTCATGACCTGATATCTCGAGTCTTTCATTTAAAAGTTAAAACATTAATGGCGCTGTTGATTAAAGGCCAATTGTTTGGTGAAGTACAGTGTTTTATGTCTTCTATTGAATGGCAAACACGTGGTCTGCCCCATGTCCACATACTTATTACATAAGAAAAGTAGGATATTGGGGTTATCCATCGCAAGCGAAGCTGCGGGCACCCTGCTAGTTATTTTATAAATTGATTCGGTGTCCCTCTTCTCTTTGCCAGAGCAAGTTCAAAGCTGTTGTACTAAAATCTACGCTGAAGAAGTCACTTAAGGGAGTGAGGAGTTAGCATAGAACCCAAAAATGTTGCAAGACCAGATGTAATTCTTCCAATTAGCAGTCTGAAAACCCGAATTTCTGAGTGGTTGGGGAATACACCGGGCACGAGGCGCTATGTCAGCGGTCCTACGCTTGTCCCGCTGACCAAGGCCGAGTTATGCAGCGGGCTACGCAGCGGATTCGAATTTCAAGGTCGGCATTCTGTGCATAGCGCCGTCAATTCTGCTATTCTCTTGTAGAATATTTATGTAAGTTTGCATTAATGAATTCTTAACAGACTCGAACAGAATTCCAACGGAATCCGGAATAATATTAAATCCGATAAACGGATTTTGAATTAATATTAATCAATGAACAGGAGTGATTCCGAAAAATAAAGATTATAAATATCAGCGGGAATTAATATTTATCAATGAACGTGAATAATTCCGAAAAATAAAGATTATAAATATTAGCGGGAAAATAGTCTTGTCATTACTTACATATATGTATGTATGTATGTATGTGTAAAACTATGATAATTGCATTCTAACTGTGCACAGTTGTGTTTGGGGAACCTCCCTTATTCTACATAATTCAAAACTGAAACTGCATACATGCATACATATATTATCTTTAATTAGACTTCGTTTTGCATTAAATTCTATGTTTCGCCGTTAATTTAACAATAATATGTGTGTGTACACCGTTTGTGAAAAATTCTGATGAATGCATGTGTACTTACTCGGACGGAACATCGTTACAAAGGTTTGGCACCGTTTTTTTTTTCGTAAAAGCCTAGTACTCAGATCGACAAACGAGTCCGCTGGCGTAAAAACTTTAATCATCTGGAATGATTAAAGTTTTTACCAAAATGATTAAAGTGTCCAAAATTTCGAGAGTTCATCCGAACTAAGCGAACTACGGTCTTATTGTCAATCAGCTCTCAAATATCGAATATGCGGGAAAGAGCCTTTAAAAGATATTATAAACTACCTTGGCAAAACAAGTCTGCCGCTGTACAAAAAAATTAAAAAACAATTCAATTTAAATTTAACAGTTGTTTTTTAATTTACTGATAATTATTTGCTAATTTAAAGTTTATGCTGCACTTTTATTATTTTTTTTCGTTCATTTTTGATCTAAGAAACACTTTGCTCTGACAAGAGGCACCCCAGATAGTATTAATGTTATTTTGTCCTCATATGAAAGCTCCTGCAATCGACTTTTGCGGGTTTTTTGATTTTTTCCCTTCATTTATTTAAAAAGTTTAGTGAGAAACGCACGCTAAAAGATTACATTTTTTAATCTTTGCGCTAGGACTCGCCAAAAGTTCATTTCAGGTGGTTGGCAACGCGAAGTAATTTTCTGGTATTTTTTTCATCGTTCTGATTACCGAGGTGAAAAAAAGCCTGACGAAAAGTGAACACCAGCTGTTTGCCTCTCGCTCTCTCTCACGACTGGCGTACAGTTTTCGTCGATCTGAGTACTACGCTATAAAATAAGACATTCCTTATGTGTGACAATTAATGAAAGTGTGCAGGGCGCTTTTTATGACAGTTAACTCAAGGGATGGAGCCGAAATAATATAAAACCATCTTAAAAGGCGATATTTACGCATTACTATTCCAAAGCAAAAACGTTTTCCCGATCGTTCCTTAAGCTGCTATATAATACAGTAGTTCGATCGGCCAGATTTTTTAACATGATTAGTTTACACAAAACAAATACGATATGGAAAGTTTTGTTAATAAAACATTTTTTTTTTTTATTTGACCCGATCGTTCCTATAACAGCTATAGCATATAGACGTCCGATCAGGCTTTACAAACTTGATATGCGTACACATATAAAAAGACGATTGTGAAAGTTTCAAATCTCTAGCTCTTAAACTAAGCTCGCAAGCGGTATACATAGAAATAGCCGGACAATCGGACATGGCTACATCACCTAAACTGATGAGATGCTGATCAAATATACATATATACAGGGGTGGTCAAAAATATTTGCACAAATTACACGTACTTACTCATAAGAAATATGCAAATACTTTTGACCACCCCTGTATACATATATGTGTCAGAAATGTCTCCTTCACCGCGTTACAAACTTAAGACTAAAATTAGAATACCCTGCAAAGGAAAACAAAATAATTAATATTTTGCGAAGTCAAAAACTTAAGTTTGTTTTGACAGGTTGATGCTCTAGCTATGAAAGTGACTGTTACAGTATACGCAAAATGTACTGATCAATGGCAGTAAATAAAAAAAAAAACTTTTTAGGAAAATCGGGATTTTTTTGAACCTTTAAAATAATTTGACAGCGCTTGCTTTTTTAAGTAAACCACAGTTCGTGATTTTCTAAGTTAATTTTTCATTTAACCAATGAAAATGTACAAAATATAGCGTAGGATTTCTTTCGGAGAGTTGGGTTACGGATCTAAATCTAGTTTCAGGCAGGGAACACAAACGCACTTGCTAAATAGGTTTAAAATAGCTTTTAAAATTATAAATATTATTTCACCTAAAAGTTTAACAGAAACGAATTTGGTTACCTTTAAAGTAACTCTCTTTTATCTTTTCGTGTTTTATACCGATCCTTTTAAATAATTTTATCTGCTATGTTTAATTTCATTAAAACATCCGTGCCTAAAACAACCTTTTTTTTTATAAACATACCGTATTGGTATATAGTTTTGGTTGGGCCAAAAAATCACCTTTTCCTGTTTTTGGATTTGGATTGTCCGTAACCTTCTTCACCAAAAAATAAACTATCTAATACTTTTTGTTTTTTTTTTTTGAAAGAAATGAATTTTGAATGAATAAATAAAAAATATGTTTTTAATAGTACATCTTTTCAAAAACGTAGAGCTTTCATGGTCGGTTTAAAAATAAAATGCTTACACTTTTCGATATGTTTCTTAACCTAAGTTTTTAATTTGTAAAATAATAAGTCCATAACAACATTGCTTTATTAAATAACTCAATTGATTTGGCTATTTCGATTCCTTTTGGAATATTTAGTAATTAAATATTAAGCTTAAAATATGGGGACGGAGAAACCTCCTTCTATGCATTAGCGAAAGAATGCAGTTGAAGATTGTTAGACATGTGCAGTTTACATTCTTAAGTGAGGGTTGACAAACAATAAATTAAATAGGTCTTATATATATATATATATATATATATATATATGTGTCTATATGCTTTTATTATGGATCTAGCGACGTTGGTTATACAATAATTGTACTATACCTTAACTATAATTTGTGTTCGTGCTAATATTACATGTACATGCAATGTGGTGTATTGCGCACGTCCACTGACTTAGTTTTTACAATCGTACAATTGCAAAATAAACATTTTTTGCAAAATCATATATAAATGCGCGTCTTTACAATTATGTGTGCATGCATATATGCGGACTCTCATTTGAACTGATTTAACTTTTGGATAATTGTTGATTTAGTAGTTTATATTTTAAAAGCACATTTACATATTTTAGTTCCAGTTTTAAGAAAAAATATATTACGTAATTCACTGTTGAAAAATATTGGTGTTATCCCATTCAAGTTGATTGATGTGAGCGAACCCGTCCTTTAAAGCTGATAAAATGAATCAACATTAATATAAAAAATATAAATTATAAAATATTACTGTACCTTCTTCATCTTCTGAGTCCGAATTTTCCGATTCTGAACTTTCTTCTGATGCAGCATCTGTTTGCATTGGATTTATAGTTATAGTCAAAGCTGAATCATCCCAAACTAAGCCATCATCAACGATCTAGAAATTATTCATTATTAATAATTATTAAATTATCTGTTCCCATATTCTAAGTAATTTTTACTTCCTATCTATGGGTACTATAATTTTGGTCAGGACTTTGTAACTCAGCGAAGGACACATTTCCGAACTTATAAAGGATATGAGATTTTTAGCGCTTAAGTATGCAGCTTAAAACGTTTTTAAAATTTGTAAAATTGGTTTTAAATATATTTGCATGTTTCTTCATGTTTTTATCCAAAGTTGTCTTTCTATTGCAGATAGTATATAGAACGGAACGAGACGGATCGGGCGACTATATCATATAGCTCCAGTAGGAACAATCGGGAAAAAATTTAAAAAAGTATAACATTGTTGTTTTTATTTTTTTTTGTGCTTTTGGATTTGATAATATTTAAATGCAATGGAATTACGGTTTGAATTAAATTAAAATTTAAAAATATATATAAAAAATTTTTTTTTTTTAAGTTTTATAAAATAGAAAATTACTTTTGAATTCTTAAAAAATATATGTATCTTGAGATTTAAAACATATTTATTTGCGTATATATTGGAAACCAACGATAGTTTGTAGTTTTTCATCCAGTTAGCTTTAAAACTAAGATACTAGTTTGTGTAAAATTGCACGGACAGACGAATAAAGCTAGATTGCGTATTATGGTTAAGAACATATATACTTTACTTGTATAAATTTCTGGGGTATAGACTCTGGTCCTCTGGCCCCATTAAATTCAGTATTACATATTTAATTTATATACTTACTTTTGGACATGGTTGGTGCCGATCAGCATATTTCTGGTTGTTTTTCAAACGTGCAATCGAAACGCCGCAGAGCAAAACGGCCAAAAAAACACTTACAAGAATTATAAGCATTGTAAGGTGTGATCCTTCAGCTAAAATAATTTGCGTTAATTAAAATCAAATTATCAGTTTTTAAAAGTAAAAATACTACTACTACTATTTTTGTATATTCTATTAGAAATTTCAATTTACCTTTGTGTACGAAGGAATGAATGTGAGATTTCGGTTCTTGCACATCATTTGTGTGTAACAAAGAATATGAATATATCTTAGAATCTGTAAAACAAAATTATGGATATTAAATATATCTTATCTTTCGAATCATCTCTGTATTAAAAACCCACCAGTTGCCTGATTTTCAATGTCACTTATCGATCCACTTTTTAGGTGATAAGTTGTTTCAGTGTTGGTATTGCCAACGTTAGATAAAGCCGACGAAATTGGCAAATTTGTAGACTTAAACAATGTCTGTTTAGGATGCAATACAGTGAGAGTGAGTGTATATTCCGCACTTTTGTACTGAGAGCTAAGCTGAGCACAAGAAAGCTTAAACACTCGATTCAAATAGTATGCTGGTTTCTTATTACTGTATACAAGGGACCGTAACACGTTCAAATAGTTGTGAATGGTGTCCTTTCCTATCATTTCGACTCCATCTTTATTTATATTTGTCTTAATATCCATGGTAGATGACAATGACTCGTCCCCATCAATTTGAATGTCTTCATGATCCGGATTTAAAGAGGGAAATACAACAACGCTGCAGGAGTCCAGATAATTTTTCTGTTCTATTTTGCCGGTGTTCTTGGAAAGCGAGTCAATGCTGATTTTGTCCAATATGTGCACGCCCAATTTAATTTCTTGATACGATACCAATTTATTTGAAGTTCCTGGAAACATGTGATTGGGCTTTTAAAAAAATATTTATATATACAAATGTTGTATAAATATATATATATATATTATACATATTATTATAAATCTACCAATAATATAAAATAAGCAACAATAATATAATTTAATATAGAAAACTTGTGCTACGCCTGAATCGGAAGAGTATACACGATTAGGGTGAAACAAAACAACAACCATATGAACCACTGCCGACTGTTACTTCTGCCACGTAAGCAATGTTTCGAGCTTTATATAAATAAACAAGAGAGAACGCTTTAGTCGGGTGCCCCGACTATCAGATACCCGTTACTCAGCTAAAGGGAGTGCGAGGGAGATGGAGATAGAAACTTTGATCACGCATAACTTTTTAACGAATGGTCCGATTTGAAAAATTTCTTCTACATTTCGATAGGTATTGATAAACACAATAAAACTGCATTTTTACTTTTCCGAAATATTTAAATTTTTAAAATCGTATATAAGCGATTGTGGGCGTTAAAGGGGGCGTGGCACCTTTTTGAAACAAACTTGCGCTGCGTAGGAACTCCTAGAATCTGCATGCAAAATGCCAATCTTCTAGCTTTTATAGTTTCCGAGATCTCAGCGTTCATACGGACAGACAGACAGACAGACGGACAGACGGACAGACGGACATGGCTAAATCGACTCGGCTAGTGATCCTGATCAAGAATATATATACTTTATAGGGTCGGAAACGCTTCCTTCTAGCTGTTACATACTTTTGCACGAATACAATATACCCTTTTACTCTACGAGTAACGGGTATAAAAAGGTTACTCATCCCTTCGGCCATCAATTCTGGACCATCCCTTTTCCAGATATAAGAAAAATATAAAATTTGGCATCATAAAGTATATGTATTCATGATCAGCATGACTAGGAGAGTATATCTAGGAGTCGATCAGGATAAAAGTTTCTCAAAAGATTTCTTCTTTTTGCTGGTCGTATATAAGTGGAAACGACCCGGATCTGATGACTATATCATATAGCTCCCATAGTAACAATAGAAAATTTTGTTAAAATCAGACGACTTTATACCATATAAATCTTAAGAAAGCCTAAGACATATGTTAATAATACTCTGTAAAACTAAGGTTACTTTGTATACCTACTCTGGTAGTTTCACTGAAGAAATGAGCCTCTTGGAACAAGAAAGAAACCAAACTTCGGCAAGACGAAGTTTATATACCCTTGCAAGTTATTATGAAACGACTACATTTCGATTTCTATGCCTATATTACTAATATAATATAATAATAATATAATAATATAATATAATTTTAAAAAAGGTCGTAAACTGCTTAAGCTCAATAAATCTTCCTTAACTCTAACAAAAATAAAACAAAGAAAAAAAATTCAGCTTTAATTACCTGATATTGATACTTTGGTGGAATCGGATTGGGGATCTTGATCAGAGGTCTCCAGCTGTAATATTGATTTGAATTTTTTAATATTAACTTTCAAAGTTGCATTTATATTTTCATTTACCGACGCCGAACCGACATCAATATCGATGCCGAGTGAAGCTATCGGTTCGTTAACCATAATATAAGTCTCAATTGGCGGCAGACGAAGGGAACTTTCATTACTACACGTCAGAGTTGTGCGCACTTCAATGTTACGACGACCTACTGTTGGGTTATGCTTAATATTGATATACTGGATTTTGCGCATCAATTGTTCAACATCGTGTTTTGTTTTGCCATCGATATAGATTTCGTTCATTTGAAGGTTTGCTTGGATCTGGGCGTTTACAGAGTCGGAATTTTTATTTTTTATTTGCAGTAACTTAGGTGATAATAAGTGCTCAGCACAGGTGGTTCCACATTTAATGTCTTCAAAAGTCAAAACACCATTGAGAGTGACTTTTACTTCAGAAATATCTCCATTAAAACCATGTTTCAATCGATTTTCCAAACTTTGGTAACAAGCACCAATAGCTAAAGAGGTGTTAACTCCATGGGCTGCGTGTAAGGGCCAATCGTCAATTACCTCCGGATTGCTATGACGATCCTCAATAGAACTCTCAAAACGAACGCCGTCAATAAATAAATCAACCTTTGCCGGGTCTTCAACATTCAGAACATAATGATGCCACTCGTTGTCGCAAACCTCAGGGATTTTCCAACGCCATTCAGCAGGACTGAAGATATTTAGATCACCATCATTAAAATTTTTCCTTAATAAAAGAATAAGACGACAATTCCGAACGAACAATGCCATATGATGACGGTTCATTTTGTGGTCGTCAGCACTGCAGACAATATGCTCCTTAACATGTTTATTAGCCACCCCTTGACTATTATGCCGGAACATTGTAAGGATTGTAAAAGCACGTGTTGAGAAATCGTAATGGTCAATAACAGTGTCAGGGACTACAACTCCAGTGGAGCCATCAAAATGGAATATAGGTTCCACACCTTCGTCATAGCTCAACTCTTTAGTCCATTCAGCACCATGCGGCAAAAGGTCTTTCATTTTTTGACTTGCAGAGCAATTTGATATGTCCCGATCGCATCCAAATGAAATGTGTTTTGTCTGGAAAATTGTTTGAAAAAAAGGAATATTAACTTTATATATAAAGTAAAACATCTAAGCGAAACTTTTGTTTTTAATTTTGGTCATTATCTTGCATTAGCGTGTGCCAATATCAAGGTTGATTGTTATTTAATTTGCTTGGCAAGCGCCGAGTATTTAATATCAAAAGATAGTTATACCCGTTACTCGTAGAGTAAAAGGGTATATTGTATTCGTGCAAAAGTATGTAACAGGTAGAAGGAAGCGTTTCCGACCCTATAAAGTATATATATTCTTGTTCAGGATCACTAGCCGAGTCGATCTAGCCATGTCCGTCTGTCCGTCTCTCCGTCTGTCCGTCTGTCTGTCCGTATGAACGCTGAGATCTCGGAAACTATAAATGCTAGAAGATTGGCATTTTGCATGTAGATTTTAGGAGTTCCTACGCAGCGCAAGTTTGTTTCAAACTGGAGCAACGCCCCCTCTGACGCCCACAAGCCACAAGCTGTGGCCACAGTTGGTGCTATTATGAAAATTTTAATTGATATGTATTTGTTTCGTCAATACCTATCGATTTGCTTAATAAATGTTTGCCACGCCCACTCTAACGCCCAAAAACCCATTAAACGCTTAAGCCTGGCTAGCGCCTACATTTCCGCCTTTCATGGCCCGTGGTAGCGCCATCTAACGGATGACTTTGGAACAGCTGGCCAAGGTGCTCAACAGAGTCAACGTTAATTCTCGATAAGGATTTCTATTAAAGGAAATTGCGATGGTTTTCATTTGTCAATACCGAACTATATCCCAAGAACTATGCAAATAAAATCAAGTTAGCCAAATTGGAGGTCTGAGTCAAACAATGGCGTATGTGTGTATGTATGTAAGCATATACATAATGTATTTACATTGTACACAGTTGCAATTGCCCGGCAAAGATAACTCCTTTCAAAGAAAGCTATTCGCTATACCCGTTACTCGTGTTGTGCAAACATTTAGACTTTAATATACATAATACTATTTAAGAATGTATGTGTTTATCCAATATAAGTATGTATGTTTAATATTTCTAGTCAATTTATTGCACTCAAAAACATAAACATAAACACAGCTGCTGGTGCAGGACAAAAGCTGCCTGCGCTAAAGCTCTGCCAGTAGCCTTATTATTCTCGCTCCTGAAGGATCTTCTAAAAATGTTGTTTACACAGAGGTTTTAAAGTAATCATATTAATTAACATTATTAAACCTAGAAAGTTTCAGTGGAATAGGTCTAATTGGAGATACCACATTAAAAAAAACGCGCCAATTTCTCTACCTCAGGGGTGGTGTGGAAATGGGAAAGTCTTGACAACCGTACTCAAAACTAATTTTAAGCGAACGAAGTCGCGCCGGGTACAGCTAGTATTTATATAATTAAACAATCATCGTGGCCCTGCGGATGTATTTGAAGGTGGCATGTTTTAAAATGGCGGACTTATGAAATATGTCCCACATCGTCTCGATCTTTAAGGTTCCCGGTTATGGACAGGCTAGAGCTCGTAATTCCTGTCTTAAATCAAAAAAGAAAGGGAGCAATCTTGGGCAAGCCGAAGTTTTTGCATTTATTACAGAACAACTACATTTCAATTTCTATGCCTATATTTCTAAAAACAATGAGGCAATATCGATTTTGGTCTGTATTTCGCCATCGTCATATAGCTGCCATATAAACGATGGCAAAATGCAGCGCAAAATCGACATAGCTTCATAGTTTTTTGTAATATAGGCATAGAAATCGAAATGTAGTCGATTTGTAATAACTGCAAGTGTATATAAACATCGGGCTTTTAAAGTTTGCTTCCTTGTTTTAAAAAAATTTGCCGATTGTTCCTATGGGAGCTATATGATATAGTCGCCCGATCCGACTTAAATACTACCTGCAATAGAAGACAACTTTTGGGAAACTTTCAAGAAGATAGCTTTTATACTGACAAGTTTGCGTAGAAGCGGACGGACATAGCGATGCTGGTGATGCTGATCGAGAATATATATATATTCTATACTTTATAGGGTCGTAAAGGTCTTCTTAACTTCGTTGCAATTGCTGACTAAAATTATAATAACCTCTGCAAGGGTATAAAAACAAAAATTTCGCGCTCTACGCTCGAAGCCAGTTTATGAGCAATTCGGACACTGGGCAAGAATTAATCATTTTGATGGCAAAAAATAAGTTAAACATAGCTTTTCGTGATCTAGTACAGGTTCTAAATTCTAGGAAATGAAAGTGTCAATCCTAAAATCAGATTATAGAATGCAAGAGGGCTTGTAAAGAAGAAAGTCGCCTTTTCCTTAATAGCGACAGCTACCTGGTTATGACCAACACCAACACAATGCTAATCACCCTATCAACACCGCTAAAGGTGGTTTTGCTATCCTTATCAAGGCCAACATTCTCCACATTCAGAATGAGCCCACAGCGAGAACTGATTTACAACTAACTAGTCTCGATGTTAATACAAATGGTGGTGTCCTTAAAATAGCGTCGCTGTTCCTGTACAAAAAACGACTTCGACCAGTTACTGATCTCTCTGGGCCCGAAATTTTTGGCTGGAGGGGATTTTATTACCAAGCATCAACGGTGGGGAAATTTATTATTAAGTCGAGTGTTTAATCATTTTTTGTCAGAAAAATCGATATCAGAAATTATTTGAGTTGTAGGTGCGATTGTAACGTTTTGTAACGTTAAAAAGTTTTTTATTTGATACGCATATAGCTGGAGATAAGATATTTTTTTACGATTTAAAAAATACTTTTTTAATTTTAGATAAGTCCCAAACATTACGTTACGAACCTCAGAAGAAATTTAAGCAAATGGTTGGCACACCCTATCCATATGTTAAAGGGAAATCCTATAATATATTCAGTTTTGAATATACAAGGCTAAATACTGATTGGAAAGAGCGTCCCCTAATTAAAGGCAGCTGTGAGAGTCCAAGGAATCAGACCGAACTTTTTTTAAAACAACATAGCTGCACAATCTCAGATCGATTCAAAAATTATTCGCAGCGATAGATATTATTAAAAAACAAGAAAGGAAAGCTAACTTCGGGCGGGGCCGAAGTTGAAATACCCTTGCAGAATATTCTGCAAATTATATTCTCCAAAATTATTCATATGATGCATTCTTAATACTCATAAAAAATCCCAACTTCCTAACTTTAAAAACACCAAAGTTATGGCATTTCCAATCGTTCAGTTATATGGCAGCTATAGAATATAGTCGGCCGATCCTTATGAAATTTGATAGGTCGGATTAATTGGCCAAATATAAAACCCAAATATAAAACCCAACTTCCTAACTCAACAAACAGCAGAGTTATGGCATTTCCGATCAATCAGTTATATGGCAGCTAGAGGATATAGTCGGCCGATCCCGGCCGTTCCGACTTATATACTGCGTGCAAAGGAAAGAAGGGTGTGTGCAAAGTTTCAATTCGATAGCTTTAAAACTGAGAGACTAGTTCGCGTAGAAACAGACAGACGGACAGACAGATGGACAGACGGACATGGCTATATCAACTCAGGAGGTGATCCTGATCAAGAATATATATACTTTATAGGGTCGGAGATGTCTTCTTCACTGCGTTGCACACTTTTGACCAAAATTATAATACCCTCTGCAAGGGTATAAAAAGCTTACCTTTAGCGCTATGGATGCATGAATACTCAGGTCTTCATTCTTGCAAGAAATATCACACAAGTCCAGACGAGCATTAGGAAACAATTGAAGACTTTCAGTGCTACCGGACTAGGAATAGTTATTTTAATAACTTATATTATTATTATTACGTCTATGTTATACATACGGTATAATCAATGCGTTCTGGCATGCCTAAAAATTTTGTTTCACATACGCGGCGCACTTTGATGCTAACCATTATAGCGGAAGATTCTTTCATTGCGCAATCATAAGCAACAACGGACAGGATGTGGTTATGTGATACCTTGTGGGAAAGGGGTTCAGTGTTTTTAATTGATCCCTCGTTGTCTATTGAGAATGGTTCATCATTGTTCAGTATCTCATATTTGCAAACATCGCCAAAGAGTGGAGTACAGTCCTTATCAGAAGCTTCGACTCTTAAGATTTCGTTATAAAGTCGACCTTCGTCTACTTCAGTTACATAAGACGGTTCCAAAAATGTTGGTGCATATTCATTTATGTCAATAACAGTAATATGAACATTGGCTGTATTTGAAGGTGTTCCATCGCAGTATACCGCAACAATTTCGAAGTGATAGCTCTTGCGCTTTTCGCAATTTAAAGTCCGGCGTGCTTTTAATATGCCTAGGTTGTTAGCCAATTCAATCTGAAATATAAATTGAGAGTAATTTCTCAAAAATTACACGCAAAACTTACCTCAAATGGAATCTCATGATATGGCTTTTTAAGAATATGAAAGTTACAAATTTTCTCTTCATCCACCTTGATTAATGGAGTTATTTCCACCAGTGTTTCATTTTCTCGAATCAACCCATGATACGACTTTTCTAGTATGATCTCTGAAAAAAAAGAATATTACTGGAGCAGTCATAATATATGACTTGGTTCTCATGTATTTTTCGAAAATTTATCAAGCGTTCGTTTGGTTACTGTTAAAACATTTTTCGTTGAAAAGTGAGATAATCTGGCATAATCAGTTTCAGACGACTGCAAAGGGTGAATGAAAGTTAAATTTGCCTCTAAAGTAAAACTTATACAATTTTAGGACAATATAATTACTATTTAATCTACTTGGCACAGAAAAGTTAAGCCGACCTACCAAGTCGGGGCTATTAAACTCAGGGATATAGATGAGCATAATTCTACGGTTGTAAACTCCAGACGGTAGACCCATACTACAGAATCCCATGGACCAGCAAAATAAATACATTTTTAATGACTTAATAAACATCGAATTCTGTTGACCACCTTTAAGGGGGTATATACCTTTTTCATTTTCAAAAAATCGAGATTTTTTTTTTTGCTTTATCTTAAAGAACAACTTCTTGAGAATATTTCCCAAAATTTTCATAGAGATTTGAGCTGTAGAAAAAAAATTAAAGCGCTCCTAGCCGCGCGCCTCGTGCCCGCCCAAACCCAAACTTGAAACTTTAAACGCGAATACCTCGAAATGGTTTTTTTTAAAAATGACTTTGCGGTGATATGGATTGGCGAAAAACTACTGAACCGATTTTTTTTTAAATGTTCGTAATGAATTTTATTAGTACTTGAACGATCGTTTTTTCATGTAAAAATTTTAATTTCGCCGAAATAAATAGTTTTGTAAGAATTTTTGCGTCCAAAAACGTCTTTTTTTGCATTAAACGTTCCCGTATGCACAAAAAAAAAATTTTTTTAAAAACGTTCGTTCAAGTACAGGATACTACTTTAAACTAATGAAATATTTTTATTTTTTCGGTATCAGTTGACCCATTCGTCCTGGGGAATTATCACCGCAAGGCTCTTTAAAAAAAAGGCGTTTAAGGGAAACAGCCACACCTTAAAAACTATTAAATATAAAATAAAATCTTTGCATAAACATTGTCAACAATCTAAACTTTCAGAAAATATAATCATTCATTTAATAAAAACAATAGTTACATACATAAAAAAATTTAAACTTTCCTATTTTTTTCGACAAAAAAAGGTATATACCCCCTTAATAAAACCTAGCAAAGTCTCACGCTATACTAATCATGGACGAAATATGATCAGAAAATATTAGTTTTGGATTGATACGATAAAAAGTCATCCCTGCACCAGTTTTAAAAGTTATATGAACATATTTAAAGTTGTATTGTAATGTAATGCAATATATCCTTATACTCCAGGCACAATTTAACATAATACAATATAACTGAGGGACAAAGATGGCTTCATTGTGGGACACCGGAGGTAACACGGAGAATTTTTAAAAAGAACCCTTTGTGGATATCAACTGCAATCCCTAACAGGTCAAGTTTCCAAACAAAAAGTAAGTCTTTTACAGAGTCAAATGCTTTAATAAAGTCATTGTAAATGACTTATGTTTGAGAATTACTTTTGAAGCCCTTTATCACAAATGAAGTGAGCTCTAATAGGTTAGTGGTTGTGGATCTACATTTAATAAATCCGTGATGACACTGAGATAATTAATCTTCAAAGGTGCTGAAAATGAGTAAACAGTTTTTCAAAGAGCTTAGGGATAGCTGACAACTCAGAAATACCTCTTTAGTTACTGGCCTTATCAGTATCAGAGCGTATTGTTTATGACTGGTGCGATAACTCCCTGTTAAGATACCGAAAATAGCTTAGAATATGGTTCTCAGCAGAGCTTTGACAGATGTTCGGGGAGCAGCTAATGTAACCTCTGTATAGATTCTTACACTATGTGGAGAGCATATAGTAAGAATCTGTATGGAGGCGTCATTAGTCTTCCCGCGCTCTCGAGGGACTTTGCCAGTGAGCCCACGTAGGGGGAAAACGAAAAAAGACAGTTTTTCATATGTTCGATCGAACATGTAATCTAATCCCGTGGTAAATACTTCTTGCTGCTCTGCTCGCTCTTATTGTTAAGGCTGGGGTGTTTTCTCCATATACTATTGCTGCTGAGAACCATGTTCGATGGTAACTTTGCTTTCTCCCCAGATCTATCAATGAGAGCGAGCTCGGGACTCGATTGCATTTTAGATCGAACAGATGAAAAATATTTTTTTTTTGTTTTTCCACTACGCCTCTACTATGTTATTTTTAAAAAACAAAAGTAATTATTCCAAGTTAAAGAAAATGTCCATTCACATCCGAGAAAAAACCTTAATATTATACATACATTTTGGTGTCATAAATTATTAATTTTATCAATTTTGAATGTGTAATTTTTATTTTTTTAAATAAATAAATTAATTGAATAAATTACAACAGTAGATACTCAAATCTCTTTTTTTTGTAAAAATAAAATTTCAGTCAAAAGTTTGCAACGCAGTGAAGGAGACATTTCCGACCATATAAAGTATATATGTTCTTGATCAGCATCATCTGAGAGTCGATCTAGCCATGTCCGTCTGTCCGTTTCTACGCAAACTAGTCCCTCAGTTTTAAAGCTATCTGCTTGAAAATTTGTCTTTCTATTGCAGGTAGTATATAAATCGGAACGAGCCGGAACGGGCGACTATATCATATAGCTCCCATAAGAACAATTGAACATCGAATTTGTCGGCGGCCGGCAGCGTACGCAGTAAAAACAAATTTTTAAATTAATTTCTTCAATTTTTATTTATTTTCCTTATTGAAATTATATTAAACTCCTTAACCAATAATTAAACAAACATAAAATGTCAGGAAATTAAAATCAAATTAACGCTTCTTTTTGTAGAGATCATTGATTACATATCAATTCGTTTATTCGATTACTTAAAAGCTTCAAACAAAATGCTAAGGCGCCGAACGCCGGCGCCGCCGCGCCGATATTTTTTTATACCGACCCTATAAAGTATATATATTCTTGTTCACGATCTCTAGCCGAGTCGATCTAGCCATGTCCGTCTGTCCGGCGCCGCCGTGCCGATATTTTTTTATACCGACCCTATAAAGTATATATATTCTTGTTCAGGATCACTAGCCGAGTCGATCTAGCCATGTCCGTCTGTCTGTCCGTATGAACGCTGAGATCTCGGAAACTATAAAAGCTAGAAGATTGGCATTTTGCATGTAGATTTTAGGAGTTCCTACGCAGCGCAAGTTTGTTTCAAAATGGTGCCACGCCCCCTCTGACGCCCACAAGCCACAAGCTGTGGCCACAGTTTTGATGCTATTATGAAAATTTTAATTGATATGTATTTGTTTCGTCAATACCTATCGATTGGCCTAATAAAAGTTTGCCACCCCCACTCTAACGCCCAAAAACCCATTAAACGCTTAAGCCTGGCTAGCGCCTACATTTCCGCCTTTCAATACAATAGCGCCATCTAACGGATGACTTTGGAACAGCTGGCCAAGGTGCTCAACAGAGTCAACGTTAATTCTCGATAAGGATTTCTTTTAAAGGAAATTGCGATGGTTTTCATTTGTCAATACCGAACTATATCCCAAGAACTATGCAAATCAAATCAAGTTAGCCAAATTGGTGGACTGAGTCAAAACATACAAGAAGGCATATTTATATTAAGTTGTTTAGCTCAGTAACGGGTATCTAATAGTCAAGGCACACGACTATAGCGTTCTCTCTTGTTTTGTTTTGTTTTCTAATCATTTTTGTTTTATGGAGATTTCGAGAAACAACAAATTTATTTATTTAGAATAAATGAAGTTTGCTTGCTTTATAATATTTTTATTCAATGTAACTGTAAAAAATATTTTTAAATGGTTATATTAATAAAGCCAACGTTTTAGGCGTATGCAAATTATAAAAAAAATATGTACAATACCTTTTTGTGTTAAATATTCATCCTCATTTTCACTTGATGTTACAACTGCAGCAGCTAACATTGCACACATTATCACTGCAACGTAAATGCAACCTAGTTGGTTGTACACAGGCATGGTTACTGATGAATTTCTTCAAAAACAAAGGATTTCAATTTATCTGAAAAAGAAATTACGATATTTAAATAGGCTATAAAACCAAATCCTCGTTAAAAATATAGTTCTCAGCTAACGCTGTCGACTTTTTTTTTGTTTTTTGGAAAATGTATTATCTTTACAACAACAAATAACTCGGATCTTTGGGCGAAAGTCGAGGTTTTTGACTTTCAAGAGCCCTTAAAAATCGGAAAACAAATTACAAAAAAAAAACTCGACAACGTTACCTGGACAAATTTGTCCTTTAAACAATGCAACTCGATTTTTTCAATTCAGATGACTCTGTGATGCCTTTGAGGTGCCGACGGAGGTTACCCATATCTGACTCACATTTTAGTATTTTTGCTTAAATGTTGTATTATCATTTGGGAAAACAAAAATTTTACTGAGACTATTTGTATCGCCAATAAAAATTCGTAAAAATTACCGGTTTTGCAGCGAATAAACGAAGACTCTAGCTTGTGCTGGTCGATATTATGATTACGTATTTAGGCGTATCTATTAACTATTAATATTAATTATTATTTTTAATTTCGATCGATTTCTACGCTTCTTTCTATATGATCGATTCGACTATTTTTTAAATAGTCAAAAATGACTACATACATATATCATGAGGTAAATGTTTAACGTTAAAAACTTAGAAATATTGTTGATAATAATGTTTCAAATCAATAAAGCCTTTCATACTATCGTCAAGAAATAAGACTTTTTGGGAGTTTCAACAAGTTTGCGTTGAAGCGGACGGATACACGGACATGGCTGGATCGACTCGACTATTAATGTTGATCAAGAAAATACATAGACACATATGTAAATAATGACTTTATGGATTCGGTAATATCTCCCTGACTTTCAAACTTATGACTAAAATTATAACACGCTCTGCCAGTGTAAAAAGCTGAAGTATTGTTTGAAGGTAAAAGTGCTAATGTTCGGTTATACAAGTGTATAAACAGAAGTTTAGTTTAACTGCATGTTTGAACAACGTATTCGTACATATGTATTTATTTGTAAAAATCTTCTTGTATGTACATATGTAAATACATATGTAAATGGAATAGGATTAATGTGTTTGTATCCATGAGATACACATTTTGTAATGCGTTTAAGTATTTTTGATTCTTTTGATTATGAATTATTATACGTGACAATGGTTTTATACACAAACATATATATTTTCAGGTTTCTGCAGATGAAGTTTTTTAATTCAATGAAAAAAATAGATTTTAACACTTATCCAGCCTTTCAAGAAAAATCGATACTACGTTTCTTTACTTGGTTCCTTACTTCTTCTTAGTAAAAATACGTCTTGTAACGTGTAGAAAAGCAATTTTAGATTTAATTAAAGTTCTTCTCAATATCCTGGTAATGTTTATCCGACATTTTGAGATACTTGTGTAGAATAGATTTATGCTTAAAATGGGCTAAAAAATACCAAAAATTTCAGGGCTGCGTAATCAAACTGTAACCTTTTAGCACTTTTAAAAAAATAATTAATAAAACCTTTTTCAAATAACGTGGTAGTGTAGTCAAGATTAGCAGCAGAAGAGTCAGGTGTGAAATCGGCTTTTAAGCCGCCAAAACAAAAATTAACCAATTCAAAATATTCCTTTAAAATAAAAAAAAATTATTGAATCCATGCTGTTATATTTTTTTGGCCTTGTATATCTTGTATATCTGAGGCATACCAAACACATTTTTTTGTTTTTTTGAAAGTGGTTTATAAAATAGTCAATTGTTTCCAAGTAAGCCTACTACTCAGATCGAAAAACGAGTTCGCCAGCGGAAAAACGTTAGCATTTGCGGTGTGACCAAAATTTTGAGAGTTTATCCGAACTGAGCGTTCTACGGTCTTACCGTCAATCAGCTGGGTTTGTTGCCAAACAGAAAACCAAACAACCTAAACAATTTTTAATTAAACGAAAATGTTGAGTACAAAGTACGCAACCTGAAACTGGTTGTCGGCATGGCGGCATGTATTGTGGCAATAGAAAAGGAGAATGCCCAAAAGAACAGGAGATATCAAGAACTGTCCTGACCGACTTGCGACCCTGCCGACGAGGTCGCCCACAGGAAGCTCGAAACAACCTAACAGAATAATTGAACGGCAGTGGTGGATATTGTCAAGTACCTTGGCAAGACAAGTCTGCCGGTGTAGAAAAAATAAAAAAAACCCAAGTTATATTGCCAAGATTATCAACGGATTATTTCCTTGAGTATTTTTGCTCTCGCAAAAGCTTCCTCATCTTCCGGTGACATAGTATCCTCACCAGATAATGTCTTCTTTTTAAATTTCCTCTGAAAAGCGCATTACATTTACATTTTTTAATCTTTTCGCTAGGGCCTGGCGAACGTTCATCCAGACTCCATTTCAGGTGGTACCTGGGTGAAAAAAGCCTAACGAAAAGTGTCGCCAGCTGTTTGCCTCTCGCTCTCTCTCATAGACGAACAGATTTCGTCGACATGAGTACTAGTCTTTTGTACTGTCAATCCGGTCGGTTGTTTGTTGAAAAACTGTAAATAGAAAATCAGAAAACACATATGTGCAGGAAAGAACCCTGAAAGGATATTCTCAAGTACCTTAGCAGGACGAGTCTGTCGGTGTGCAAATTAATTAAAAGCTGTAGGGGTATGATATGATATCCCCAAAGATATAATTTAACACCGTTGAATAGTTAATAGCTTTTATTTAGTCTTGGTCACAATCAATGCTGGCTATCAACTGATCTCGCTCTCCGCTCACAACTCGCATCAACCCCCAACTCTCTGATAGAGTTTGAGAGCGATGAGAGCACAAGACAGATAGAGCCGAGCGAGAGCAAGCTCTACAACAACAACAACTGAGGAATACAGTAGCTTATACATATTACTAGGTAGCAATCCTGCTACAAAGCCAATAAAATTTATATTTAAGAGTTGTTTTTTTTTAATTACTGATAATTATTTGGTAATCGAGAGATCAAAGCTGCCTTAAATTCTTGCAGGCGATTTTTCTGGGATATTGTTGTACTTTTCCACCCATTTTTTACCTAAGTAACACTCAGCTCTGACAACAGAGACCCCAAAAGATTACATTTTTAATCTTCCCGCTAGGGCCTGACGAACGTTCACACAAAAATCATTTCCGCAGCCTGGCAACACTATGCAATTTTCTGGTATTTTTGAGAAAAGCGTTCGCCAGCTGTTTGCCTCTCGCTTTCTCTCATAGAGCCTAGTATCCAGATCGACAAGCGATTACGCTAGCGTAAAAACTTTAATCTTTCCAGTGTGACCAAAAGTTTGAGAGTTCATTAGATTTAAGCGTGCTACGGTCGTACTGTCAATCAGCTGGGTTTGTTGACAAGCAGTTAAAATTCAAATATCGTATTTGCGGGAAAGAGCCTTTAAAAGATATTATCAAATACCTTGGCAAGACAAGTCTGCCGCTGTACAAAGAAATTAAAAAATAATACAATTTAAATTTAACAGTTGTTTTTTTTAATTTACTGATAATTATTTGCTAATTTAAAGTTCATAGCTGCACTTTTATTGTGTTTTTTCGAACATTCTGGACCTAAAAAACATTTTGCTCTGACAAGAGGCACCCCAGATAGTATTAATGTTATTTTGTCCTCACATGTAAAAACCTGCAATCGACTTTTGTGAGTTTTTTCCTCCATTTCTTATAATGTTCAGTGAGAAGCGCACGCCAAAAGATTAAATTTTTTAATCTTTTCGCTAGGGTTCACCCAAAGTTCATTTCCGCAGACTGGCAACGCTATGGAATTTTCTGGTATTTTTTTCGTCGATCAGGGGACCGACGTGAAAAAAAGGCCCGACGAAAAGTGAACGCCAGCTGTTTGCCTCTCGCTCTCTCTCATGACTGGCGTACGGTTTTCGTCGATCTGGATACTAGGCTTAGGTGACGAACCGTTTTCGTCGACCTGAGTACTAGGCTTTAACTGTGTGTCACAAGCCCGGCTTATTCTGATGAACAGTCACACTGGAAAAATTAAAGATTTTCCGTTGGTGAACTCGTTTTTCGATCTGAGTCCTGGACTTAAAGAAGTTCGCCAACTGAAAAATTATAATCTTTTCAATGTGACCGAATTTTTAAAAGTTCATCCAACTGAGTGTGGTACGTTCAGCATAGTACTCAGATCGAAAAACGAGCTCGCTAGCGGAAAAACTTTAATCATTCCAGTGTGACTACATTTTTGAGAGCTTATTAGAATTAGGCGTCCTACGGCCGTTCTGTCTATCAGCTGTGTTCGATGACAAGCAGCTATAATTCAAAAATCTTATTTGCGGGAAAGAGCACTTAAAAGATATTATCAACTACCTTGGCAAGACAAGTCTGCCGCTGTACAAAGAAATTAAAAAACAATACAATTAAAATTTAACAGTTGTTTTTTTAATTTACTGATAATTATAAAGTACTAAGATGAAAAAAGAGCCTGATGAAAAGTGTAAGTCAGCGGTTGCCTCTCGCTCTCTCTCATAGCTAACGAACAGATTTCGTCGATCTGAGTACTAGACTTTAAAGCTTTTGTGCAACTATGGAGCCGTTTTTTTCAACACTGTACTTTCCGTGGAATTCGCTAACGTTCCCGCTTTAGTTTTCTTAATTTTGAGCTCCAACTAAAAGACGAGGAGAAAAATAAGCGATGGGTCCTCGTACATCACTAAACCGTTTCGGGACGGAGTTTTATTTTAAAATCCAAGATAGGTGTTTGTTTAATGTGTAGAAGTTAATCTCTGATTCGTACATTCAGCAATTCGTACCCGCAAAATTTGGCTTGAAGTCTGGATGGCTTTCAGAAGTGACGTTTATTATCGTGGTTTTGTTTATTATCGTGAGAGGTAATTTGGTCACCAACCTCAGTGTCTGAAGCGGAATCTGTTCCTCAAAACTAATAGTGAGGAAAATTAAGGAAAACCCCAGGATGTCAGCTAGAAAACTCACTGAGCAGATTCAACAAGAGCTAGGCAAGTCATGTTGCAAAAAAGTCGAGTAGCAAGGAAAAAGCCCTTTATTAGCAAAGAACCAAGAATGTCGGCTGAACTTAGCTAAGGAACACATTTTCAAGCCATCTGACTTCTGGAACCATGTTATTTCCGGAGATGAATCCAAGTTCAACATATTTGGGTCTGACGGTATTACATACGTCTGGCGGAAGTCCAATACCGAGCTTCAAAAAGAGAGCCTCAAGCTCTCTTTGGGCCTCGGCAGCCGGCACAATTTGGTGTTTATCGAGGGCATAGGACAAAAATGTGTACCGCGACATACTGAAGAAAAATTTGCTTCAAGGTCCCGAGAAGCTTGAAATCCGAAATAATTTCAGGAACTACCAGGATAATGACCCCAAGCACAAAAGCCTCAATTGTGCAGTATTGGCTGACCTATAACTGTCCTCATATGGTAAACTCTATGAATGTGGTTATTGCTGGATCACAACATACGGAAGCACAACATTACTAGCAAGGTACAGCTAAAACGACACAAAAATTGGTAGATTTAATGGCAACTCAACTCAATGCTGTCATTTTTACTAAAAATATTTTTAAGATTTATATATATTTTTAATTTTAAGATTGAACATTAAGTGCATCATATAAGCTGTGACCTAATAAAATAGGGCAATTTTTGTTTTTCTTTTTATTTTAGTCCTAACACTTGTTCGTATGAAACAAACAAACTATATATATTATTCTATTTTTGGCCTTTAAACATTAAATTTGAAATGGGCTCTGCATCAAATAAGCTTTCCCCGGGCATCTGTCAAGGGGTTTTGGTTTGCGTTTTGAAGAAGCCTAATCTCTAGGTTGAAGAAGCTTAATCTCTAGGTTCTCATCAAGATTATCGCCGCTGACCGAATTAGGCAAATCCACGCCTACGATTAGGCGAAGCAGCACACCCGCGCCAGCTCCGGGGAAAAAAGTGGTCCAAGGATCGACACAAATCTGCAGCAGCCCCCCTTGGTGAGTCCGTTTCAGTAAACGGGCAGTATAGCCATCCTTGAAACCGCCGCTGCACTGCTTCCTAATCAAGACAGGCCAATTCGCTGCACAGTGTATTTTCGGGTGCCGCCGCACTTCATTCCAATTAGTGTGGCTAAGGCAAAGCGTTGCACCGCCCTTTGTTTCGCTTTTCACCATTTCTGGATCCACCAAAGCCTTCAAAACTGGTCTAATATCCCCTCTACCAGTATTCTCGGTCCATTTTGCGTCCATCAGCCACGACTTTAATCCTTGCGTGGCATACTGGCCGTTACGGCGTTATCTTCACCGCTAATAATTTATAAATAATTAGTAAATTGTTTGTAAAATACCTGCTGTCCCTTTTGCATGTCTCCGTGAGCTTTTATCCGGTTTTTCGCAACGCTAGTTCTGCAATTAGAAGTTTGACCTAGCAATATTGAAGATGTGTTACTTATTTGAAC